AAGATCTTCAAATATATTCTGAGGTTCTGATGGTGACTGTCCTGCTCAGCAGACATTTCCATCACACTTAGGAGATGATGTGATGGTCTCTCCTTTTAAATGGATGTGGGCAGCAGGACAGAGTCCACGCTGATAAAAAAGTCATGCATGCTGCATTGTTGGTAGCACAATGCTTCACCCACTTCTTCCATGTTTGTAACATGGACAATGGGAATGGGTTGCTATTAATGTTCAGTAGTTAGTTGTAACAGATATATAGAAGTTTTTCTATTATAACGGAGTAAAAGTCTACTCTTCCTTCTCTTAACGGGTGGGCAAATTGTTGTAAGCCGCCCAGAGACCTTTGGGTAGAGTGGGCGGCATATAAGTTAAATAAATGAATAAATTAATGAATGAATGAAGTCTTGTGCTCTATTGTGATATCTTCACCCAACCATCACTGCCTTTTAATTAACTTTTCTCAGTTTTGATATTTATGTCCAAATAATTAAAAATAATGACACACCAGTTCTTAAAACACATCAAGGATGGATTATAAAATCATGGCTTTAAAATATCTCTTACCCCTATGCCAGCACAACATAGCATTTATTCTCGTTGTTTCTCTTCTTCTGCCATGTCTTACACAGTTTTTACACAAATTTTAATCCATACCACAACACATTTTATTTCAGTTCAGCCCATGAATCTTGTAATAACTCATTTTGACAGTGTTTATATTATGACTTTTGAACAACTTCAGCCTATTGCCAAGGTACTTAGTATGTAATGAATATGCTACCTATCCATGTAGCTTTGATTATAGAAAAGTGTATATGTTTACTTTTGACATGCGTTATTAAAACGCTTACTAGGATCACTTCCAAAACATATGCAAAACCATGATCCTACCACAGCACTTATAAGGAGAAGAAACATTTTGGGGGGTTTTCTACTGGTGCTAATAATAAACAGTGTTTACATTCTTAGCTGATCTGCTTAGAAGATAATAGATTTTTGTCAGAACATTCTCACAGCTGCAGCTGAATTTTTTCAACAAGCATTTCTATCCCTGTGCAGAGGCTCAAAGTAAAACACATGTTCTGCTGCTGAAAGTTTAATGCCTTTCACTCAGTAGGTAAAAGGAACGAAGCAAACAATTTTCAATGCTTTGAACCTTCCTAACTTTTAACACTTCCTCTCTACAGTACCTTCTCTCACACACTCCTTAGTCTTACCGATTTTGACTTTCTGGAGATAGACAAAGGTGAACAAGCCTTTCCCCCTACTTTTCAAGGTACCTAATGGTCAGAGCAAGAACGGCTCACCCCAAAGCCATAATAAAACCTCCCTCCACCCTACAAGCCATCAGACAAATTCCACTACCTCTTACATGGCTTCTACTCTCTTACGGACTTTATGATTCACACGCTGCAATTGGCAATTTAAAAAAGATCTCATTGTTTGAGCTTTATTTCCTATGTCAGCTCCTCTTCTGACTCACAAAATGCAAAATTGCATAACCAGGCTCTTCTACATCTATGACACCCACACTACCTAGATGTATATATGTAGTTGTCAATTACAATAACAGGTTTGTAGGTTGTAGGTTGTCCATGCACAATCAGTAAGCGTGCAATAGCTGGGTGTCAGAATGACTGGCGGACGAGTGATGGAATGTTGGATGCAAGGCTGAATGCTGATTGATTGGTGTGTGTCGGGATGTGAAGGATTGTATGAAAAGTGGCAATCAGGCCAGGAGTGAGTTAGGACAGTGATCCCCAACCTTGGGCCTCCAGAGGCTCTTGGACTTCAACTCCCAGAAATCCTGGCCAGAAGAGGTGGTGGTGGAGGCTTCTGGGAGTTGTGGTCCAAGAACATCTGGAGACCCAAGGTTGGGGACCACTGAGTTAGGGGATGAGAAACTCTCTCTTGGGCTAGAGTCTTTCAGAATGTGTAGGAGATCATGAGTCTTTAATATAGGAGAGTATTTTGTGTCTGTTAAAACTGTAAAAATTATATAAACTCTTGGCAGTCAGGAAATAGTTTAAATACCTATACACGATAAATACCATACAATATCTATACTATATTATAAATACCAATTAAGGCATGGAGCCGCTGACTGGCTGGCACAGTTAAAGGGACAACTCCAGATTCTTTGGAACAGTTCGGGGGTAGTATTGCGCCTGGGCTAACACTTTATATAGCTGCACTAAGAAATAGGTGGCTAGGTTTAGAGGGAAAGAGCCAGATAGGTGCCTCAACTACAGTGGTGCCTCGCTTAACGGGGATAATCCGTTCCAGCGAAATCCTCGTTAAGCGAAATAAAAAGCCCATTGAAACGCATTGAAAACCCTCCAATGCGTTCCAATGGGCTGAAATCCTCCATAGATGCGGCGGCCATTTTCGGCGCCTGTAAAGCAAGGAATCCATCCTAGAAAACAGCGGGGGGCCATTTTGTACACCCAGCAGCCATTTTGAAACCCGACGATCAGCTGTTTTTAGATTGTCGTAATGTGAAAATCGGTTCCCGAGGCAGGGAACCGATCATCGTGAAGTGGATTTTTCCCATTTAAACCATCGTTTTGCAATCGCTTTTGCGATCGCAAAAACCTAATTGTCAAGCAATTTCCTCGTTAAGCGAGGCAATCGTTAAGCAAGGCACCACTGTGCCTGGGGAGTGTGTAATTCACCAGTGTGACAGTAGTGAAAATGAATGCCTCCTTGGGAATATTGCAGTTACTTCCTGTTTTACAACTGACACAACTTTGTATTTGTCTTACATCCCTTTTCCTTCAATCAGGATTTCTCACTCATTTTTTTCTTTCCCCCTTTCTTTCTTTCTTAACGCCCCTTTCAACAGCTAAGCACTCAAGAAATCAGCAAACACGCTAACTGTAAGTAACTATTACTGAAGCTTTGTTTTACAAAGCCAATCTCAATTGTCTAATTAAAACAAGTTTAAAACTGGTTGCCAAAATCCTGTTGCTGGTGTATGCTGTTTTAAGGGCAACAGCACCATTTACAGGCTGCAAATGAGTAGTAAATCACAATTATAAGAGGCCTGTTGAATCAGTGGCTAAGTCATCTCTAAGTGCCATTGACTGAATGGGTCTACTTTAACTGCAACTTGCTACTGCATTTCAGACACTGGCAAAATGACAACAGATAAGGGGTTTTGTCAAGAACCAGATTGCTTAACTGGGACGCAACAAGGAATACAATAAGCAGTTCCTTAACTAATAATTCTCTACTGTGATTTATGCTTTTGTTATTGGTGCACAAAACTGAACACTTTGTGAGGATGTGTCACCAATATACTAAGCTACTAAGAAGCTGTTTCCCACATCCTATGCATTTATAAGGTCTTTCACATATGTGAGCTTTTTTTTGGCCTACAGCTTTAGATGTTTTGGCAGGATTATTTTCCACAATCCCAGTTCTGTTGTGTTTTTTTCCTCCTGTGTGGACTTTCTAGTGAGCATAGTGCCTATCTTGTGAGCAAAATAATCCCCATGCATCTTACGTTTTTCTTTGTGTTGACTGTGATGCTTCAAATGGATTCCATAAAAAACATTTTCCAAACTCCTTGCATGCAAATTTACTTTTTCGTATGTGCAATCTATGGTAGTTTGCACATACGAAAAAGTAAATTTGCATGCAATCTAGGGTAGTTGCCTGCACTCTAAGCAAAACATTTTCTGTGTTGCTACGAGTTGAATGTTTCCTCCTCTTTTGTGGATTTTCTGAAAAGCAAATGGGATAACCTGTATGTAAAAGATTTGCTGCACCGTTGGTATTTTTATGGTTTCACTCCTGCACAAACTTTCGTGTGGATGAGTGATGAGCGTATTTCACAATCTCCTGGCCACTGCACTTTTCCTCTCCTTTTGAAAATTAAAGAGTTCCACATTGCAAAATCAGAGAAATACATTCCTCACACCTGGAATTTTAACAGTTTCTCTGCGTTGGGCATTTTTGACGCAATGTTGAGGTTTTTTTCCCTGAAAGTCAGAATCAAATTTAAATTTGGTGTAAAGATTTAATTTAGATTTTTAAATTTCCTACTTTGAAAATCCTTTCTTCTTTTAGAATAAAGCCCTTTATGGTTATAGTTACAAATTAAAATGAGTTACCGTATTTCCATGTTTGTTACTTTTGGAAATAATTTTTAAAATACAGTCCTTATGTACTGTAAAAGTAGTTACAGTGTGTTTTGATTAACTGAAAAATAGGCTTAACTAGAAGATTTTTTTTTTACGAACTGAAAAATCCCCCATCACCAAAGGCTCCTTAAATTTAATTATTTCTTTTTTTGTGTAAACATGTTATGGAGTATAAAGGGGACCTAAGAGGTACTGAGGAGTCTTCCAAATTGGAAAAATTCCCCTCATATTTCCTAGGGGGCATTTATAAAAAAGGAAAAGAAAAAAAGGAATGGAAGTTTCTCAGAGAACCAGGGTGGCAGAGTCTCTGGAAGCTGCGAAAACTCCCCTGGATTTTACCCATAACTTGCATAATGTCTGTCACTAGAAAATTGTGTAGTTTTCAGCATGGGTTTGTGACTGCAGGTATGTGAGCAGTAATAGATGGAATTAAGAAATTATGGGACATGATCAAGCATACAGTGGTGCTTCAAATTATGACGTTAATTCGTTCCAGCAAAATCGCTGTAGAATGAAAACGTCGTAAAGCAAAAATAAAAAAGCCACTGAAACGCATTAAAACCTGGTTAATGCGTTCCAATCGGCTAAGAACTCACCGTCCAGCGAAGATCCTCCATAGGGGTGGCCATTTTCGGGTGCCTGTGCAGCAAAAAATGGCTCCTAAAGACAGTGGGGAGCCATTTTGAGCACCCGGCGGCCATTTTCAAAACCCGGCGATCAGCTGTTTTGATTGTTGGGAAGCAAAAATCGGTTCCCGAAACAGGGAACCGATCATTGCGCAGCGAAATTCACCCATTCAAAACGTCGTTTTTGCGATCGCAAAAACCTCGTAATGCAAATTCGACATTAAAGCGAAGCACCACTGTATTTTCCAATTCCAAAATTATTCTAAAAGCTTTTTTTCCTTACTTGAAAAGATGTAATGCTGAACAGTTCTGGAAGCCCTATCACAGTCTCTGGGGTGCTTTCACCCATTTCCTTCAACAATGCCGGTTCCTTTAAAATAGCAATTCTAGCTTTTGTACGTTTGCAACTTTACAGACAATGTGTTCGGCGTTTACTACTCATTCGGAAGCTGCACAGTGACACTAAAAGTGTCAGTCAACACAGAACTATTTGAACTATATATAAGAGAGCAGGCAAGGCTTTACTATTTACAGGGGGAAATCACAAGATTAAACTGAGTTTATCTGAATAGTTATTTAAATTAGGATTGAGATCATTTTTCAGATCATTTTTATTTAAATGAAATCTACTCTGCTCTGATGTGCCAGAAGCCTTGCCTTGCAAAAAAACCATTTCCCATGCTCCGGGGATTTCAATGGCTTCTCCCCCTCGTGGACTCTTCTGTGAATTAGCAGGGCTGAATTTCGAACAAAACATCTTCCACATTCCTGGCATTTCCATGGCTTTCTCCCCTCTGTGAGCTTTCTGATGAATTAAAAGGTATGACTTGCTAGCAAATCCTTTTCCACACTTCTGGCATTTGTATGGTTTTTCTCCTAGGTGGACAGTATGATGTGTCATAAGGTGTGAATTCTGAGCAAAACATTTCCCACACTCTTGGCATTTGTAAGGTTTCTCTCCTGTATGGACTCTATGGTGTTTCACAAGGTTTGAATTCTGAGCAAAACATTTCCCACACTCATGACATCTATACGGTTTCTCTCCTGTGTGGATTCTCTTATGCTTCACAAGCAGGGAACTGTGAGCAAAACACTTCCCACATTCCTGGCATTTGTATGGTTTCTCTCCTGTGTGCACTCTTTGATGTTGCACAAGATTTGAATTCTGAGCAAAACCTTTTCCACACTCCTGACACGTGTATAGTTGCCCTCCTGTGTGGACTCTTTGATGACTCACAAGCTGTGAACTGTAAGCAAAACACATCCCACACTCTTGGCATTTATATGGTTTCTCCCCTGTGTGGATCCTTTGATGGCTCAGAAGACTTGATTTTTGAGCAAAACATTTCCCACACTCTTGGCATTTGTATGGTTTCTCTCCTGTATGGACTCTCTGGTGGATCAGAAGGTTTGAATTCTGAGAAAAGCATTTGCCACATGCTTGACATTTATATGGTTTCTCTCTTGTATGTACAGTCTGATGCTTCACAAGATTCGAATTCCAAGCAAAACATTTCTCACACTCCTGACATTTGTAAAGTTGCCCTCCTGTGTGGACTCTCTGATGGTTCACAAGCTGTAAACTGTGTGTAAAACATTTATCACATTCCTGGCATTTGTATGGTTTCTCCCCTGTGTGGACTCTCTGATGACTCAAGAGGCTTGACTTATGAGCGAAACATTTCCCACACATTTGGCATTTGTATGGTTTCTCTCCTGTGTGGACTCTCTGGTGGATCAGAAGATTCGAATTTTGAGAAAAACATTTCCCACATGCCTGGCACTGGTATGGTTTCTCTCGTGTATGTACAGTCTGATGCTTCACAAGATTTGAATTCTGGGCAAAACACTTCCCACACTCTTGACACTTATATAGTTGCCCTCCTGTGTGCATCCTTTGGTGGTTCACAAACTGTGAGCTATAAGCAAAACATTTGCCACACTCCTGGCACTTGTATGGTTTCTCCCCTGTGTGGACCCTCCAATGACTCAGTAGACTCGACTTACGAGCAAAACATTTCCCACACTCTTGGCATTTCCATGGTTTCTCTCCTGTGTGGATTCTCTGGTGGATCAGAAGATTCGAATTCTGAGAAAAGCATTTTCCACACTCCTGGCACTGATATGGTTTCTCCTTTGTGTGTACGGTCTGATGTTTCACAAGATTTGAATTCTGGGCAAAACACTTCCCACACTCTTGACACTTGTACAGTTGTCCTCCTGTGTGCATCCTTTGATGATTCACAAACTGTGAGCTATAAGCAAAGCATTTCCCACATTCTTGGCAGCTATATGGTTTCTCCCCTGTGTGGACTCTCTTATGGCTCAAAAGACTTGACTTATGAGCAAAATATTTCCCACACTCCTGGCATTTGTATGGTTTCTCTCGTGTGTGGACTCTCTGGTGTATCCGTAGGTTTGAATGGTGAGTAAAATATTTTCCACATTCCTGACATTGGTATTTTTCTCTATTGTGTACACTCTGGTGCTTCACAAGGTGTGAATTCCAAACAAAACACTTATCACATTCCTCGCACTTGTATAGTTTCTCTCTTGGAAAGCTTGTAATATGCAGCTTGCAGCCAAAACCTTTTCCAGAGACTCCCCATCTGACCGTTTTCTTTCCAACATGAACCGTCTTGTGATGCGCAAGAGACATTTTTTGGGCAAATTGTTTCCAAGTCAGGATGCGTTTGTAGGCCTTCTCTTGGATATTACCCTTCTGTTCTTCATAAGATGGCACGTGTCTGACAACAGCCAATTTCCCCCTCAAGTTCCACCTTGTCTGTGGGCATATAGTCGTTTCCCTCCAGTTGTCATCTGGAAAAGAAGAGAAAATATTAAATTCCAGGTCTAAGATCCTCAGTTCAAAAACCTGGAGAGGGTGTTTTTTTTTTGCATCTAGATTAATCTAAATGCAATTACTGCACAGCTGTGGTTCTTACTTCTTTACGGATGAGGTATTACTTAAAGAAAGATGTCTGGTTTTTGGTGAATACAATTAACAACGTTATTTATTCACCATAATCACTATATCCTCCTTCCATTTAGAACAGATGGATTTTGGAAATGGCATAGGGTTGGGCCTGATTAGTCCTTCAAAAGTAAACCTCTATCTAATGCCAGGATCCTGCATTAGGATTACAAAAGATTGGTTGTTGTGGGT